GTTGACTTCGGCAGCACTGTTTTGCCCGCGCATAATTGTCCAGCCCATTATAAATACACAGTGTGGAAACATTTACGTGCTAATCACAAAGTAGACCGATCTCAATCCTAGGATAGCGGACCACGGGGTGCTTGTATACGATGCGATTTGCCCACGATATGAATAATTTATCAACACCAGCTATCGGATAATAGTCTCCAAAATTGACACAGCTTTGCAATCTGCGATCCGCGTTCGCGCATCGTGTATCAACACCTCGATCTTTTTATCCCCGCATCCTATAATTAATTACGTTTTTATATTGAAACTTTCGTTCGACGTGAAGTTTTTTAGAAAAAGTGTACAACACGATAAAAATAGTAGTTTACCCATCTGTTGATGGATTACGGAGCCGTTAACCTGTTAAGCGGAGACTATGACAGATTAAGTTTATGGCTTCCAGTTTTGTTGCATATTTATGCTAGATTAAAGACACGGTTATTATAAATTGTATATATTATATTAGGTGTACCAGTAAGTAATCCACTATTAATTTTTCATAAACTCGTAATACAGTTGAAATTTAAGACATCTTTCTACTCGTTGCTTTTTTTAAAACGAGTACGAACATTGTAGACCGAGGCCAAAGATCACTGAAACAGCATAGATTTCTGGTTTCCTTGGAAAGAAGTACTGAATTTGACAAAATATAATAGATTACTAAGGGAAGGTTGCAGAATTTGGACCACTAGAATATTTTTATTCCAGGCTGATAATAAAATATTTTTATGATTTGAGAGGTAGCAGAAAAAGTGTCAGTACTTGTGCCTTTCAGATAGTGTCACTTATTTTGCCCAATCAAATTAAACACGTCCAATTTTAGCCCAATCAATTTGTCGCATCAGTCTAATCAAAGCAACCCGTTTCCTAAATTGGACCACTGGATTAAAGTGTAAAAATAATTAAGTTTTCTTAAAAACAACTCTAAAACATATTAACATAATAAAGAACCGTTGTTCAAATGTTGTTTGCTCCATACATTTTGCAATTATGAGTAGAGAGGTCACTCCCCACTTTAGGCACCCCCCAAGTCCCTACTCGTCGGATCTTGGCGACACACGTTGACATAGACATAGTGACTATGTAGTGGAAGTGGGACAGTCACAGCATTTGCGCGCACTTCCTGCCCGAAGATAGCAACACAACTCAAGCGAGTGGTGGGGACTGGTGTTATGGCCGAGCGGGCTCGGTTTCCCATCACTGGTCTATGATCTTATTCTTATTGTAATTAAATGTAACTTACTATGTGTTAGTAACTGAAGCAAATGTTTGTTACAGAAGCACGAGCCAGAATAATTGGCACGCCGGACCGATACGTGAAAGTCGGAAGTCATCTCACGCTGACCTGCCTGATGTCCCAGGGGCCTCACGATTTGGGTACAGTGGCTTGGTACCATGGCAGTCAGGCAGTGATGACATCGCCGCATTCCGAGAATGACGTGTCCTCGGGACCTCGTATTACTGTCGAAACTGAGTGGAGTGATGCTCTCACGTCGAAGTGAGTTTTAATTTACTTCATCAATATACATAATGAACAAAGGAATTCTTCGTATTTTAATTAAATTTATTAGATCAGCAGAAGATCAAACGAAAATCAAAGCCCAATACGTAAAACGCAATATGTATAATCCGTATAATACCCAGATATCACCGTACACCCAACGGACGTCAGTTTCATGCCAAGCTTATATCCGAATGTCCTACGTCTATTTTGAACATTCCTAGGATGTTCGTAGAATTTAAATTTCGGATGGTTTCGGTTAGTAATTTTGGCTCAATGTCATTCCGTGCAACGCGATGGAACCCCATGAGCAAGGTGTCATTCTTTGGAGTTTAGAGAATCAATAGAGAAGTGTAACAACATTAGTGGTTTTGTGCAGAGACCTCAGAAAATTTCAAAAAACATTTTTTTTCTTATACTGTCTTTATCCAACACACAATCAGTACTTTACTTTAAGTAAGTGGCTTTTTTAAGCTGCATCTAGCCAACACACAATCAGTATTTTGCTTTGAAAATAAAAATAAACACAATGTACACACAGACCATAACCCCCAGACCTATATTTTCATTATAATTCCGTATAGGAAATTTAACCTTTTATTTATTAACAAGAACTAACTTGATCTAATTTCTACTAAGTGCGGAAATCGCAAGAAAGTTAATCTTCTATTTATTCCACACAAACCAACCTAACCTAACTTCTATCACCTTGCACAGAATAAAATGTAACCGTAATTTTAAACATTTGGAAAATGTTTCTTATACGTTTTTTATACGTGTGCTAAAACGATCGCAAGAGACTGCAGAACCTTACTTTACTGTAGATTCAACTTTGACCAAAATATGCGATAGACCCCTAATAGTAGGTTTCTGCAGAAAAAGCTAGACTTGATTCCGGCGTTCGCTTACGACGTCGCTTTCGAAAACTGGAAAACAGGTGTAAAAGGTGTGTATGAACAGAAAGAGATTACAATTATGGTGATCCTCTGGAATTATCATTAACCCTTTCAATACTCTCGGCGCCTATAGGCGCTCACTTCACTCTGCTCGCTACAAACGGTTGGCATCTATAGGCGCTCATTTCACATTCCTCCCTACAAAGGATTCGCGCCTATAGGCGCTCTAAAATCTAAATAAACAATCATCGATAAATAGATAATATGAGTTTAATGTAGTAAGATTTAGTGTTTTGACAATTTCCATATAATTTCTGAAAAATGCATACTAACGAAGATTTTCATGGTTCATAGCGTAGATCATGACACGTATGTCTCAAAGTCTGCCGTAGCGAAAGGGTTAAGATTAATAGTAAATAGTATATACATAAAGTCCTCGGACTCTTTCATTAGACCTTCTATTATTATGAATCAGATAAAAGACGATTGCTTCGAATTATATTGTCTCCAAATTCAGTTCTCAGAGAGAAGCTCATAGAATAACTTGGCACAATTAATCAACTGGTTGCTGCATGATACGCGTAAATCGCGCAGCGATTCAAAGCAGTGATGGCAGTCGTCGCGAGACAACTAATTCAGGTTCTTGAATCGAGGGGGGAAGGCGAATGGGACGTGAATTCGTCGACGCGAAACGCCGGCCGTCTGACAATCGTCAATCACGTCCAAAAACAGACGCAGCCCGGCTGGAATATTCACGCAACACAGAAACGGCAGGGCTGACAAGGGCCGGCTAGAAATGCAGAGCATGCCCGAACGTCTTCACGGTGCACAGGCCACTTGACAAAGGACTCCCCCTATTTCCTCTCCATTCGAGAGCCAACTGATTATTATACCGCGTACCACCCTCACCAAAATGCATAAAAGAGGGGGAAAATTGCAGTGACACATCAGTATGTAAAAAATTGCGATCTTATGACGTAGAAGGGTTAAAAAGACTTTGTACACTTGGGGAGTCTAATTTCGTATTACGTTCGTATTACACGAGAATGCCGTTCCTATAGGTCGAAATGAAAACGCTGTATTTTGGGAAAATAATTTCTACACAGTGAAAATATGTACCGTCAATATTAAGAATTTTCCCAATAAATATGTGCATTTTTGGATTATATTAATTCTTCGAATACTGTAATTACAGATTCTCAGTATTCACAGATCCTCATCGTCAGTTAGGCCACCTTGAATAAGTTGAAGTTATAGTCATTTTCGGCAATATGGTTAGAAAGATAATGAAATAAATGGAAAATTCAATATCAAGTCTTCTATTTCGCAACTTGGTATACGCAAACGTACACTTTTTCGAGCTACGGTGTTCGACCTCACGGCTACATCGTTTGATCTAGAGCAAAAAACCAATGATTTTCATTTTCTACATGCTCAAAGCTAAAGAAATTTATATAGATTTTGTAATGTCTTGAATAGATTTTGTACAATTGATATTTTTATATGGAATTTTTCTGAGAAAGAATGAACTTTTTCTTCACGTATTCACCATTTCCACACAAATGAATATTTCTGAAAATCCGTATGTATATCTTTAGCTTTGGTATATGGAAAATAAAAATCTTCAGTTTTTTGGTCTAGATTAAAGTTAGTCGTGAGGTGGAACACCGTAGCTCAAAAAAATGTACAAATCACAACGAAACATCAGTATCCACATGATACTCATCTTGGTTGCTTCAGAAGTTTCTTAAAAGCGATATAGGTAATTAGACTGACATTAAAATAGTTGTTTCTCCAGGTGGCTACGGAACACTGGAGGGGTCGAGAGAGGACAGGGTCACCTTACGTAACCATTAAACCGATTGTTATTAGTCCCGTGGGCGTAATACGTTGCAAGGACGTGCGATGAAACTAACTATCGAAGTACGGGAAGGAAATGATTAATCAATAATCCATTGGGAACACGTTAGCGAGACTTCTTTACGAGCCGCACTGTCGACTAGTGCGTCTGGCATCAACTTGTTTGTCGTTACTCGCAGAGGAAATTGTTTTCGTTGCTGTTTAATTTTATCCGACACGATGTTCAACGCGCATTTCTAGCGTTATAACTTTCATGATTATTTTTACTACTGGTTTTTCACTGTTCGTTCATCGTTGATCACCTCGAAAGAAGTAGACTACCAGTTAGGAGTATATGATCAGGTTTTACAGTTCATGAAAGTGTAAAAAATTATATTACTGGAAGTTTAGGGAATTTACGAAGTGGAAAATTACGAAGTAGGTATTAAGGGGGCAGACTCCTTCAGGGCCAACTCCAAATCGATAAAAACGCTGATGTAAACAAACGATTACTAGAAAATTCTTTTGGACTTATCCCGCATATAAATTCAATAGAAAATCCAGTTTGGGAAGAAGCAACAAAAGTTAAACAGTACCTGTCGTCTACCAGTAATGCAGTGCCTGAACTCGTCACGTTGACCTCCTTCAGTGTAGTAACACAAGGATGCGTACACTCATGGGATCGATCGTTGATTTCCGTCACAGTATAAACTTTACTGGCGAAAAACGCTTTATAACAAAAGTTTCTTTTATTCTTTCACCGTTAGCGGGTCCTACCGACTGCGCCAATTTTATGTTGCAATCCCTTGGGTGAATGAATTGTACTCGTTGTTTAACAGTTTATTGCTTTATTGTATCGTTACACTTAGTCACAGTCAAAGATGTTTCTTACTTGAGGGCTCAGAAAAGTCTGCCAAAAAGGCACCGTGGAAAGCGAAAGATGGTCCTAAAACAGGAGTGGTTTTCCCTTGGAGGGGCTTTAGCTTTTTTAGCTTTTGTTTATTTGACTGCAACACAGTAACCATTCAATCCTATTTAGTAAAGGTATTAATGTGACGGATGTTCGGTTTCATAAAAAATTTCGGGCTTCAACTAATTTTTTTACAAACTTGATTACGCTATCTGTTAATATATCGCAGTTCCACGATAGTATTATAGTGGTATGCAGATTGGTTTAGTCTGCTTTTGACGAGAAAACCATTAAATCGTGTGATATTTGACCAAATGTGACTTGAGCAGCCATCTTGTATGTTTGCATCGGTGTCTGTCTCAATCGTACACTTTCTAAAATTTCAATTCTTTCAATATATGGTGTTTGTTGGTGTTTCTAAGGACCAGACAACCCTGTGGTGAAATCGTGAGTGCAATACCCGCGGAAACCTCATTTGTGCAATTATCGTGGTGGAATTTGGATTCTACGAAATCGATTGTCTCTCTTCTGCATCGCACATACATATACGATTCTCGTTAACTGTGTGAGCGCTCGTACACAGCTACGGACCACGGAATCTCCCCCCTTAATTTTGGGATATTCGTGTCATAACATTTGAAGCTGTTCTGGTATATTAGTCTCGTTAAATGACTGAAATAATATTTTCTTCCTTTATTAATTAACGACCTGACCTGTAAACTTCTAGCCAATGTAATCTTTACTTAAATTCTGCTAAAGTTGAGTATCTTCAAAGAAGTAATTACTGTTGACTGTTTAGATAAGAATTCAATCATTCTGTATAACAGTTTCATGATTAAAACAGTGGCTTTTCAATTAGATTATCACGGTAAATATTTATTCAGATAGCAATAATAAGTATGATCGGCCGATAGCCGAAGGACCCAGCGCGGTCTTCCACCACAATGCGATGCCAGGTTTGTTTAGTCTCAAGCACCTTCTTCCAAGACCGCACACATTCTAAATAAGTACCCAAGTCCATAAATTCTGCAACGGTCAGTAAGCGACAGGCCAACCACCTTCGAAAATTCGCTGGCGCTAACAGATAAAACTTGTAAAATATCCAATAATTAACTCTCATACCCTTCAATTTTTATTATTAAATAAACAAGATTTCTATCGGAATTTTAACAACATTATGTCCCATAGAGAATTACAATTTTTGACATCATTTGACATACGTGCTCTTTGCTCCAAGTGAAAAAATAACAAGCGACCGTTGGCAGAAACAGCAGAAATATCGGGTGTCACAGGCAAGCGTCGTAAAATAAATCCAACGATCATGTTCACCTAATCGTATTATCCTTGTGGCAGGGCTGTACATCATTCCTTTCACCGTCGTAATAATGGCTCCAAACGCTTCTCCCGGCGCAACATACACGATTCGCTGCACACACTGATATAACGGGAACATTGTGTCCGGCGTGAGTAAAATAAATCGTTTCCTTAAAGAGAAACAGTTTATTCGTGGAAAGTGTTTTTATATTTCAATTTAGTCGATAATAGTTCGATGTTTACTTTCTATTCTTAAAATTGCTAACTGTCAACGACGCGTATAATAACAACCATATTTAGTTGGGCAGAAATTAAACATCTTCTTAAACTCAAAACATGTACAAATAAGCTTTCTAAAAAACATTGTATTAATGGCATGCAAAAAGAATGGCCCTTTTTGCATCGAAAATTTTTAGTAACAGAAAAACTGCCGAAGATGTACGTGTTTCTATTTCTATCACGTTGATAAATGCATCAGCCCCGCGAAATCGACTGCACCATGCGTGACAAGCCAATGTTTAAAAATCACTTTTCAGGAACACGGTTCAAATATTTTTTGACAACGGGAATACCAGTATTTCGTTTTATTGCAGATTGAGAATCACCCATGCGAAACTAGAAGATTCTGGAAACTACAGTTGCGTGCCTACTGTTGCGGAGAAAGCCAGCATCAACGTACACGTTCTCAATGGTGAGTGAAATATAAAAATTCTACGGAACATTCTTCCTGATATCGTGTAATCTACACAGTACCGTGATTAATCTATTCCACACCACGTTTGACATTCCCGCGTTACATTGCCTATCATTTTGATGATGAGACTTCCACCTTGATAATCTTTTAAATAACCGAATTGAACGTTGAACGTCAGAATTGTTCGTCCGTTGACGATTCGCCAACACTGTCCAACAAAATTACTTTTTTCTGATCTGCAATATCCATTGGGAAATCCTTACAGAGTTTCTCGTCCAGATCACGAATCCCGTAGCAGAATTTCTCCATTTCCGTCGGTTTTTGAAAAACATGAGCCTTTGTAAACACACCCGATTTTGGCAAAAAATGACGTATTACGTAAAAATTAAAAACGCTAGAAAGTTTAATTTTATCTTGCAAGGTATAGGAGCGTTTCCTGAATATATCAATCTATATATTGTAGTTATAAAATTGTGTAATTTTTAATACTTATAAATTGCCGTGAATGATTAAAAAAGATCCGATGTGCGTACTTTCTATGTACTATTTTTGCATTTTTACGAAAAATTCTTTGCCTAGCACAAATTTACTACATAGTATCGGATTCTGTAACCATTTCTGAAGAAGAAGCCATCCAGAAAAAGTTTCGGAAGGGTTTTTAATTCCAGCAGGTCGGGAAAATATCCGTCGGCAACGTGTGCACGGTGTTTTCCGCCACAGAGCCATTGCTCGCTTTTATTTTTTTTTACGGGGGAAAACCTTGCAAAGGTGCACCGCCTCCGCTGGGGGCGGAGACGGCCAATATGGGATTTCACCCACTAAAAAACCCCCGGTGACCCTCAGGCGTAGGGCTGGCAACGGGATCGCTCAGCATAACCGCGATCAGCCCCGCCCATTGCCCTCCCCTATAGGTGTTTAAGGAAAGGGCTCTTCTCTGGAGGGGGGCGATTGCTTCCCCTCCCGGGATGGCTATGCTGCCGTTCCCCCACCTCCTACCTACAGCGCCGTGGGGTCACCTCTCGACGCTGTCCTCTCGTGGGCCGACCGCGAAAGGAGGTGGTACCCCCAGTACCACCTCCTCTGCCCGGTTGCCCCGCGGGCGACGCGAGGATCGTCGCGGCTGTGACCCTACGAATCGCGCCACCCGCGGAGCAACGGCCATTGCTCGCTTACTTCAACTCATCAGTGCCGTAGCTACGCGCAATAAACACTGATAGGACCGTCCATTAGGCATCCCCTTGCCATATGTACAGGGACCTCCCGATTGTTGACTGACTGTTCATCCACGATTATTGTCTAGACGTCATCTTCATTACTGCGGAGGCCGTGGAACCCGTCAAGAGTATACTTCCCATTCACGAGCCGACGACTGAACATTGGGAGCCCACAAAAAGGTTACATTCCCGGGTTACGGTGAGATAACACTAATGCAACGATGAAACTTCTCTATTTTTTATTCTTTGTTAATGAAACTTTTACTAGTATATTGGTGAGATGTTTCTGATACCCGGGAATGTAATCTTTTTTTTGCTCGTGATTAGGAAGTCGTCTCGGCACGCCGCGCGGGGGCAATAATGTACATATGTGCTCGATGGATTCGACGGACGGAGCGGGGAAATGTACGACGATTAGTCGAAGCGTTTAATTATTAACTAGATCACGTCCAGTCACACGTATCTTTATTATTAGCTGAAACGGTACACACACACAATCGGACTGTGTGGTCGGTTATAATGTGTATATATCTCTCTGTTTTTCACTCGCTTGTCATTTTCTATGTTCGGAATACTACAAAGGCGAATTGCCGAGGATCTTCGGAAAAAAAAAACGTATTTACGAGGGTCAGAAGCGTTTCGCATATTCCTCGATTATTGTCCCCGCACGAGCAATGTTATCACTATCGAGTGATTTTAAATGAATAATCAACCAAGAGATACAAAGCAACCCTTTCAATCCCTCCAGCGAACCTTTCGATGACAGCTACAGGCATATTGCTAATTGAAGCAATCTTCAAACTATCAAACTATCTTGTTTGACTTTACTTGTTGCGAGCTGTCGGTGATGTTTCCTGATAACTTGTACCTGTTCGGGACTCGTGCACGACGCTATGTAAACTCCATTCATATTGCCATGCATATAATATGGTCTGCAAGTTTGACACTGATGATACGCGAGTATTTCACATAGAATACGATACGCCAGTGATAAACTTTCATGAAGCGTGGCTGCAAATAAAAATTAACATTTTTAGAAACATTACGTACATGTTACATATATGAAACACTCGTTTCTCGTTCTACGACCTGTTAGGAAAAATAAAGTATCAGTTCCTCCTGCGATTACAATGTATTCATATCTTGAGTTAACAGTGGCCTTCTACATTTTTATACATTGTACAGGCTGTCCCAAAAAGATGGGACAATTCGCAACATGCTCATGCAAATACAAATCGAAAAGTTCTTTACCATTTTGTAATTTAAAGCTTCGTTTCCTAGATATTAGCAGTTAACGAACTTACACGTACGCACAGACAGAGTTAACAAGCGTACTACCTAAGCCACTGGCCTCTGTTACTTGACTGTGTCGACGCTACGTGTAGCTGGTATAGCCCACTGCTCAGCTGATCATTGCTAAGTCGAGTTCGTTTAACTGTTGACATCTCGAAAATCGAGTTTTAGATTACAAAACGATAAAGGACTTTTCGATTTTTACATGCAGGAGAAATATCCATGTTGCTTCTCGTCCCATCTTTTTGGGACACCCTGTATGCTGAAGACAAAAAAGGACATCACTGCATTGGTGGGCGTCACAAATGCAGAAAAACAGAGAAATATACAGTGACTACTTCCTTTAAATTGCACACAGATCAAAATCTACCCCATATAAGCAGGGCGAGGGTTAAAAGTTTTAACTTAAAACGTATCACGATGCTCGGGGCCAAGCGTTCTCGATGAGATTTGACAGGCCCTATGACGCCTTGCGTTCCTGTGGCTCTAGGTCCACGGCGATCGGTGCGTTTGACAGATTAATTAGATTGCGTGCTTTTTGCTTTCTTTTTTATCGAGGATGGTTTAGTGTACAGTGCGTTGAGTTAGGTGGGGAAAAACGATCGAAAGGAGCCCGGACACACCGATCCTCCTCTTTTCCCTTTTGCAAGACTGGGAGGATAAGATTGGTTTGTTTTTAATGCGATCCTTGACGAGACGGGAATCCGTTTTGAATAGCTGATGGACTCGTGATTGAGGGTTTGACGACTGATGGCTTCGGTTCAGTTCATTTGGCGCTTCGCTTCTTTTTGGAGGATCGGATCGAACGTTTTACCGCGATTTCATTCCGTTGAAAACCGAGTGGATGTGTACGTGTAATCGTAAATGCATGTATAAAGATTGAACAACTGTTAGAAAGATCCAGTGGTGATTGATGGAAAATTTATGTTTCTGCATCTACACTCGGCTCTAAAGAATTATGGGATTGCTAATGTAGGTGGTTCTGTTTGCACACACCTGGCGAAAGGAATGAAAGGAATAGTATAGGTTTGCAAAATTAATGTTTTCCGCAAAGTACTAATATAATTAACACCTAGTTATATCTGTATAAAGAAGCTTTTCGATCATTTTATATTGTATTGATAAAGAGAACGACTGCAATGTGTATATGACCCTTTAATTGATTTTAGCAGTATATGTGTGTTACGCGATCATGCTTTGTCACAGATATTTGCTTATTCATAAGGAAATGTGATGAAAGAAAGGATTATTTAAAAACTCTGACTTAATAATAACGTTAGAAAATAGTACATTTTTGAACGGCTTTTTTGCTTGGCTACCTATAATAATGTAATAACAATTACAGAGATTATAATCATAACAAATTTTATTTATATTGGAGTTCGTTGAAGTTATTTTTTTTTAACATTTGTCATACAACAGAAAATTAATTAAATCTATACTTTCTTCGTTAACTTATACTTGCTCTTGTTAGCATGTTTCTCTTACAAAGCTTTCTTATCACCCTTGTGCGTAAGCTGTTATTAAGAAGTTAAAATTAATATAAATACTATGATGAATTATTTAGACGTACAAAGAACGTTGTTTGAAGTTTTACTAAATTTAAATAAATATTTTCGTTTTCCTGTGTTTAATATAACTTTCATAGTAATTTACAGTATATGTGGTAACCTTTTCCTGAAATTGTATTCATGAACAACATCATTCCTGTTCCTCAAAAGATTCTGATTTTTTCCAAATAGGTACATTTTCTATTGTTTCAATAATCAATCACACTTTGCTTACTTAATTGAATTAAACAGTTGCGTATGTCATATTTATAGTTTTCTTACATATGTCCGAAAATCATGAAAATTTATATTTCTAGCTTATTACTACATATATTTATTTATACTTATGAAGATGACTGCTGCAGTATCAGTTACTGGAATATTCTAGTGTAAGCGTCTATAACTTTTTGAACTTCATACACTACAGAGACAGTGCGCACAGTTTTCAATAAATTTAAAAAGTTGCGATTCTAACGATATTATAAATAATGCTTGATGTTAACACTCGATGCACATACATATTCTGCATTATTGCGTATTCTTTACATTTTGTTACATAAATTTGAATAAAAACGCATGGTAAATTCGACTATTTATTTGTAATTCTTACAAATAATAGATATATTATCTATTTAGTCAGTTTTACTCAAACAAAATAGAAATTCGTAGAAAAGACAAAGGACAAACTTTAAAATCGAATATAGTATAATTTAATAAATAAAATAATTAAAACACCCAGTGAAATAAAACAGTCCTCAATAGCCACTCCTAGAATATTGAACACGGTACAATGAATAATTGTCAACAAATTCTAAGACAAATACAGATTATTAATTAAAACCGTGACATGAATGATGGCAGAGAAACAATGTCAAACGTTTAGAATAGTTGATTTAAAAAGCAAAAGGACGGAGTCTGGCAACGCACAGAAACGCTAGTA